CCCAAAAAATGGTACCCCTAAATTGTCTAGGGCCTAGGGCCTAGGCTCAGGGGATAGCTTAGCAGGACAACAAGGAAATACGAGGCGCACGGCCCAAGTACTGAAAACCTGACTGGCTTACCTTTGGTTATATAGGGATTAGACAGGGACTATATAACAAGTATAATGAAAAGAAAATGGAAGTTACTATTTGGGGTTTACGGTCTTGGGTGGTTATTTAGGGTTTAATATTAGGGTTTAGGGTTGAGGGTTTAGGGTTAGGTTATATAAGGATTATGTAGGGGCATAACCCCAATCATGGAGAATCAAATGGAAATGAGATGGCAACTGGGGTTTATGTAGGCTGGTTAGCTAGGAATGAAGGAATGGATCCTTGTAGTAGTCCCTATATAACCCACTATATTAGTTTCCATTTTATTTTCCATTCCTTCACTCCCAGCCAACGAAAAGTACAGTCAGAGGCGGAAGGCAAGACAGACCCTTCCGGAGGCTACAGAACACCATAGAACGCAGCGGTCAGGGCGAAGGCAAAGAAGTCAAGACCAGAAAGTGGAAACATCATGTAAACGCATGGGCCAAGAAATTGATCCCCAAACCTCATCCAAAATCTTGCTTCCCCATTTAAACGCTGGCAAATTCAATCAAAGCTCTTCAAACCCAGGCATCAGCATACATCCTTTGCCCCATTCCCCAAGTGAACGCAGCTCACGAAGAGCAACTCCACACAGTCGTATATGGCCGTTCCAATACTCAAGTTGTACTACCTGAGAACGAAAATCCATCAGGTCGCCGGGAACGGTTGTTCCAGTGCTTAAGTTGTACTACCAGAGAACGAAAATCCATCAACTCGCCGCGAACGGCCGTTCCAGTACTTGGGTTGTACTACCAAAGAACCAAAATCCATCAGATGGAATTCTAATTCGATTTCAACTGATTTCAGATGGAATTTGCTTCGATGGGGTTTTAATTGGATTTTCATTCCACCAATTCACTTGATTTGAATTGATTTCGATTAGAAGTAAATTGATTTTGAATTTATTGTGCTTCGATTTCAATTGATTTCAGATGGGATGTGTACTTCGATTTCGATTGATTTCAGATGGGTTTAATTCGATTTCAATTGATCTTACATGGATCTTTAATTAGAGCTCTGGACTTTTAAGCCGTTTTCAACTGATTTTAGATGAGGCTTTAGTTAGATTGTAATGATTTTAATTAATTTTAACGAGAATTCAATCAGGTTTAGATGGCTCTTCAATTAGATTTCAACTTGGATTTAATTCGATTTCAACTATTTCAGGTGGATTTTGCTTCGATTTCAAGCGATTTCAAATGGATTTTAATTCGGTTTCTATTGATTGCGGATTGGATTGGTGTTTCATTTCAATTGATTTCAGGTGGATTTTGATTCGGCTTCTATCGATTCTAAATGGATTGTTGATTAGATGTGATACTAGATTGATTTTTAAGCCGGTTTCAGCTGATTGTAGATCTGGTTTATTTAGTTTCTAATTGATGTTGGATGCATTTTAATTCGATTTTCAACTGATTCTAGATGGGATCTCAACTGGATGTTAATTCTAATCCAACTGGTGCTAATTGATTTTGGTTGGAACCCAATTAGTTTTGGATTGATTTTTCTTCGATTTCAGTTGATTTTAGATGGGATTCCAATTTTGACGTGAATTGAGTTTGCTTGGACCTTTACTGCATTAGATTTCAACTATTTTTAGATGGCTTCAATTGATTTTCATTCGACTCCAATTACTGCAAATATTTGAAAGTGTACTAATGCTGGTAGCAGTGTGTTTGGATAGGAGTTCTGGACCCTAAACCCCATGTAAAAGGTAACGCCTTCTATCTTCTCTAACGCCCATTTACTGCTGGCATAACAAGGCCTGGTTACGACTTCCACCCGCAGCTGTAAGAAGAAGGTGCAGAGAAAGGGCATTCTTCACAGTGCTTCATGCTCAGCCAGGTTCATAAACCTTGAAATTCAGGAGACCTGGTTGTTCAACTGACACCTCAAACTTGCAGAGGGCACCATGAGCTACGAATCATCTTTGAATGGCCCTGCGCCATGTCAAGCCAGATAAATCCCCTGATACAAAACAAAAACACACCCTGAGACCCCAGATTAGGGTAGGCCTGGCCAGCCGCATCCCGTGCATCAGCGGTCTTAGAGAAGCGGCGTTCAGGCTGCAGAGGCACAGTACTCATGATTCAGTTCTCTCAGAACAGGGTTGCTGTGGACTCCAGAAGGATATAGCAAGGGTCTGCATATGGGGTGGTTTGAAGGAACCAGCACATTTCGCTGGCTGCATGTCAGACTCCTGTGTTGTGTTTGCACGCAGTTTATACTAGGTGCTACTCCGGTACATTGCAATTCAGGGTCCCAGCTCATGCTCACACAGTTCTGACTATTCCCAGCGGAGGCCGAGAGACGGAATCCAAAGCAACTGTGCCACAGCCTGTTGCGCCACTCACGTTCAAGAATGTCGTCATCACTACAAATGAACAACAACTGGTCCAGCATTCTGTCATGTTCTTTGTCTTGTCATTGCACGACCACCATGATGTGAACAGTTGTAGGGCTGCAGGAGCATGGGGGGAATGTCCCCAAACCCTAGGTTTCTTTAAAGGCAGCAACAACAGTAACAGTATCGCATCAGTAACAGTAACCGTACGGTAGCAGTGACAGTATCAGCAACAACAACAGTAACGGCAACAGTAACAGTAAGCATCAAAGTAACAGTAATAACAATCACAGCAATAGTAACAGCGGGGGTTATATCCCTTTCTACCCCTGTGGGTTTCCATGTCATTTTCCATTTTCTCTTCCATTTGATTCTCCATTATTAGGGTAACCCTAAACCCTAAACCTTAACATAGTAGCTTCCACTTTATTTGCCATTATCCCAACATAGCCCCTATACAACCCCAATCTTTGCTGTGAACATGCGGGCAAGCCTGAGCCTCCGGTATCGGAGATAAAAATCATGCGCTGGCTGCTCCTGGGTTACTGTTAAGGGACTTAATTTAAGTTACCATAGTCGGTATGTATAGTAAGTATTAGGATTTCCCCAATATAGTAGCTTGAATTAAGTTCCTTAACTTTTTTTGCATGTGAACTCTAAACCCAGTATATCCCCATATTCACCTATATAATTACCCCCTATATACCCTTATTCGAATCACTCAAATTAAGTTCCTTAACAGTAACCCAGGCTCAGGGCCGCCGTCCATGGGCCAAGGGCGCAGCTCTGCCCCGCAAGGCACTCCAGGGCTCCCAGTGAGGCAACCTCCAATAAGAGGATTAACAATGGTATTAATACTAATAACAGTAATAATAGTATTAATAATAATAGTAATAATAATAGTAATAACAATAACAATCGCAATAATAATGACAATGATAATAGCTTCACATTTTCATGGGTCAACCTGTCCTAGATTTCATGCCCGGGTGGGGAAGAAGCACCAGAAAATACTACTATAGTTTTGAGATGGTTTGGGACCCCATGAACCAGCCGAGGCACGCCCTCTACATCCAGCTGACCCGCGTCGTCGGTGAACTCATCCACACTGCTGCATACCACGGCATCAGCATCAGCCCTGACTTAGAAGTTCATACGACAAACATCTTCTTCACGATTCCTCCGCAAGAAAAACCAAAATGCTTACGCAAAATTCGATCCTATCATCATCTAGGGGCCCATCCAAGCTGGGGCAGTAGCAGACCTTGTAGGATCCCTGCGCGACTTGGCCCACATCGAAGCTCATCGCTGTTGAAGAACCGCTGCCAGTGTAAGATGTCCCACCCAAAGCAGAGTCGACCCCGCATGTGCCAGTCGAAGATATCAGGTGGACAGCATCAGTTCCTACAGGACTGATGACATGGCAAGTCCGTAAGCCTGCGAGACTCAAGGGAGCCCTGCTGTCTTCCTCCTGTTAGGGAATGTTAGTGATCCATCTTTGCAGGTGAAACTGCTGGCAATATCGTGCCCATTCAAATTACTCCTAGGAATCCTGTTCGGAACCTGCTTGGACCCCACGTCTCCTGTGAGGCCGCTACTGGCCTGGACCAGCAGGATGCAGTCCACACCCATCTTGCAGGCAAACACCTTGCCACCACAGAAAGTATACATATGAACCGAATGTTACAAGTTTTCCCTTACTTTTATGCAGATAGGTCTATTGATGACGAAAAGTCTACCGGCCTAGGGCTGCAATGTGTTCGACTCGGCAAGAAACTCAGCGACAAACAGTCCAAGGCAACCAGGCCGTACCGAAAAGGCCAAGGAGCACCCCCACTTGGCGAAGCAGGGGAGCTTACCACGGTCAAAGTGCCAAGTGCCACCTTGGAAGTGAACACTTATCTTCTCATCTGAAGTGGGGGGGCACCTCACAGTCATGGATTGGGCCTTCGGGTTTCTAGTAGAAGGCTGTTATGCTTTGGGGCTCTATGAAAAAAAACGTGCAAAGCACCAAGCCACCCCGAAGCCAGCACTGGCTGCACAGCTACCAGCAGCGCTGGCACAGAAGCAGAGATTGTAGGAGCCAGGTGTTGCAACCTCGAAGCTTCAGAAGAGACTTTAGAGCGGCAGGCCCTGAATCGAAGCTTGTGATGTAAAAACACCAACCTTCTGAGACCATAGCCACTAGTGACGGGCTCAGACTCCCTCCCAAGGCAGAGGTGTCAATAGGCGAAGCAACCTTGGTTCAGAAGAGTGACCAAACAGGCAGCGCAGGCAAAAAAGCGACACGCGGGCTAAACGGTTCAGCGTAGCAACAGCACTTTAACTTTACAACTAAGGAGTGCCCCTGCAAAGACTTGAAACCATCACACAGCATGGCCCGGTGCAACACTTGCACGACCTGTTGAGCATGGGCTACGATGAAATGCCCCACCGGAACTAAAACTTCTGCTGAGCATGGTTCTGCACTCAGGCAGTGCGAGCCAATTTTCTCTCTTCTTTTTGTGGACGGCAACGAATGTATCAATCTACTGGCATGCCTTTGACAGGGTCCCACCCTGGGCATTCGTCATAGAGGCCAAAGCTGCCATCTTCCTTCTTGCAGTAGGTGTAGGCGCAGTAGGCCATATCACACGCTGCACTGCCCATGCCGCAGGCCCATGCAGCTACCCAGTGCGAGTTTTCTTTGGATGGGGTGTTGCCAGGGATGACGGGGAGGTCAATCAAGTAGTGCTCCACCATGTCGAGATAGGTCATGTTGCCCTTTGAACCCAGTTTGACCAAATGGTCGGAATTGCAATGCTCCTTGGCTTTTGCTGTCATGCCCTTGAAGTTGTGCTGCAAAGCCCTGACCTCTGGGGAGAGCCAACCGTTCTGGGAGCAGTAGTGAAAGTCCCAGCTCATTGTCTTGTAGCCAATGATGGGAAGAGGCTGTATTTGAATGCTTTTTGCAAACAGCATATAATCCCGATTGTAGATCGCGTCAGCACAACCCTTTGCCACGTTCAGTTCGCACCAGCCAAAGGTTTCGTTGTGTTCTTCTGTGGCCTCCCTAACGAAACTGCTCAAAGGCAGTAATGCCTTATCTGGGTGCTCAAACAAGGTTTGATTGCCACAGTCAGTACGCTGCACATAGGAGTTGTTGGGCGCACGCTCTGCGGGGGGAAGACCACAAAAAGCGCAGGCATGTCCATTGACATCAAATTGTACCGCCCACTCCAGGGACTTCGTAGGGTCAGGAGTCGTCTGCTTGACCTTGCCCGTCTTAAGGACTCTGCGAGAAACATGCTGCAACAACGACGTTCCCGGATGAGGGCTGGTGGAGTCCCGGCAACCCAAGGCGCCGGGTTCCAGCCCAACAGCTGATTCAATACCAAAGACAGCAAACGCCAAGAGAAGGCGCGCCATGAAGATAGGCGAAGACAGAAGGGTCTAGGCGGGGGGTGTCGCCTGTGATCCTTCTGCCAACCTTGAGCCAATATTATGAGCACGCACGGCTCGGGTTGACTCAACATGGCAGGGATGGCGTTGCCAAAGCATGGCCCTGCTGCTCAGGCACATCGGCTACGTGAGCAAGCGAACTGAAACAGACCGGGAAGCGCCACAGACTGCCGAGGTGTCTGAGAGGAGCCCAATCTCATCTGCTGCTAGCCTTAAGTCTTGCCACAGACTGCACACTATGTCATGCCTGCCTTTCAAAGCTGTGGACCCAGAGCAAACATCCAGAGCTGTACCTTACCACCTGTCTGGCCGAGCCACAGCCCAACTCCCAAAATGAAGATGGGACAGCTCTCCCCGGCATAGCAGGTGTTGTCCTTCAGGCAGTGCAAGAGGCTTGCGACCAAAGCTGAAAACTTACTTGGTGACCCTGTCTTTCTTGGACACGTGGGCATGGCCCCTAGCTCTTCAAGCAAAGGCCCTGCTTCACAGTGAGTTTCCCTGGCCTGCGGCAAAGGCGTTGGCCCAGAGACCTGCAACAAGTAAGCAAGATGACGTAGGTTTTGCCACGCATGCTAGGCGCTACGAAGCAAGACGAAGACATCACAGCCTCCAGCCGGCCCGCAGTTGCGCTGTAGCCGCCATAGGCGCTGCATGTACTGTCTGATGAAGGGCAGTAACAGATCCTGGCATATGAGAGTCTCCCAAATCAGCTTCAGGAGGCTGCTTTTGCATGGATCTCACCCCACCCAAAAGTCAGAATTGAAACCTATTAAGACCGGCTGCAGCATGCGGCGACTGCATTTGGGGACTCTGCGGGGATACTCGTTCTCGTTAACCTAGCACCTCAAGAAATGGGGAGACTTTGAAGTAGTGGGCTGCATGATCGCCAGGCCGCTAGGCAAGCTTTGTCCCTGGCCCCAATTGGCTAAAAGGTGCTGTAGTACGATGGGGAAGTTGCTCAACTTGTCAAATGCCTATCCCTCTTTCAAGCCTCAGACCCCGCGTGCCTCCAGCGACCTCCACGGTCAAAGATCCGGTTCGTGCCCGCAACCACCCCTGCGCCTCCGGCCTGAGGTTTATGGACTCTAAATGCGCCCAACAAATTTGCACGTGCCACCGTCGTAAGTGTCATTACCCTCACTACTACCTCGCCTCACTTAAAACCACCAGTAAACTACAAGAGCGGGGCCCAGACCATTGACAGGTCAGGGTCTCCGTCGCTGAAGCCGCAGGTCCCGCCCTCCACGACGAGCAGCACCTTCTTTGGGTCCGAGGCAAGATGAAATACATACAGGTAAAGTGCGTCCCTTTGGGTGGACCAGGGACCAGGGTACATGTGCTCATGGTACAGCTGCACTGTCTGACAGCTTTGCTTTTCCTTGCAAACTTTAAGCACGCCTAGACCGCGATCAACAAGACCGGCCTTATCAGTTCCAGTCACCCCGTAGCCAGCATACGTGAAGCTGCATGTGCTGGAGACTGTGCAGCTGTAGTCCTGGCCAGCAAAGGACTTGATCAATTTCTGAGCTGCATTTGTTTCGGAAAGGCTGCAGCCTAAAACAGCGGAGTACCCATAGTGCAGCATACAACGAGGCAGTAACCCAACAATCTGTCCGACACATATGGATCCTCAACACAAGGACCTCCGAAAGAGGACAACCTCTGGGATCGTGCAGGGTTTAGGTTTTAGAGGGGGGTTGTATAGGGATTATTTAGGGCGTACATATATATATATATGGGATAGGGGCTATATAGGGATTATATGAGGAACAACCGCAGCCATGAGGCCTGAACTGGAGCTGGGCCGCTTGCCGTCAGAGACAATGCTACAGCTCCAAAGTCAGTAGCCTGATCACCTCAGCTGATCTATTCCTTACACTGACTAAATAGTCCTGGTGTCAAACAGATGCACACACTGCCCCAGAAAAATGGAGATGTTGCCGCCTCTTCGGATCCAATTATCTCTGCTAACAGCGCCAGTCGTCGTGGGATGTGTAGGCATGTGGCCAGGGAAGCGACGGACGTGTGAGAGTTGCGGCCAAAGCAAAGCACCCTCCAAGGCTGGACCACCAGCACAAAACCAAAGCAAGCATGGTTTTCGCAGGTAAGGCACAGGAGCTTCGGCTGGCGACACAGTAGCACAGCTCCCAGGCACCTGCATCGACAAGGCAATATAGACGAAGGTCTGGCAGGCACCCGCAACATCAGATGTGGAAAATCGCAACATCGCCCGTGCTGCCATGGCACCACCTGTTGGAAGATCGAAGCTGGAAAGGTTCCTGTCATGCATTTGCATTAACAGGCTGATGTCTAACAGAGGCAGCAAGCATCAACGGCTTTGACTAAGTGAATGTGCAAAATCAATCGTCGCGCAGGAACGACAGAAACGCATCCGTGCCGGAAACTACTTCATCCAAGCTGGATGCACTCCAGTCACGTTCTCAGCTCAGGCGATCTTCGCAACTCGAGACTTGCAGCCAAAAGGCACTGCGCTGGACGCATCGATGCGCTTGATACTGCCTAAGCTGGTGCTTGAAAGCTTGAACCCGGGCACCACCTCAACTGCTGCTCCCACGCCCCTTCTCAGTGTTCCTTCTCCTCCTCCTCCTTCAATGCGGCGTTTCGGCTCCTGCGCCTTTCTTTGCTACTTAAACGATTATAGACAACAAACACCACGAAGAGCAGGATGACAAATTCAACTGCCGGTACAATTCAAACTGTTACGCCACCACTATGCCTAGTGCAGTAAGAGCCTCCCTGGTGGTCTTAGGGGCATGGGGTTTTGGTGGTGTTGATGGTGTCGGTGGTGCCGATAGTGTCGGTGGTGTAGCAGCGGGAGCAGCAGCGTGAGCAGCAGCGGGAGCAGCGGGAGCAGCGGGAGCAGCAGCGGGAGCAGCAGCAGCAGCAGCAGCAGGGGGTAGTGGAGCATTGGCAACTGCTGGAGCAACAGCCAAAAAAAAAAGCAGCTTTTTTGGAAGCCAATTCCATGTCGTGGATGCCTGCCCCAACCGCAGCGGTTGCCAAAGTTGTGCCACAACTTCCCGCAGTCGCAAGAAGAACCTTTCCAGGCACTGGACGGTCAGGCCATTGCCGCCAAGTAAGGACTGGCAATGGTGCGATGATCTTTCGAAATGAGAAGGGGTCAAGCCCTCCACGCCCGCCTGATCCCCCTCTGCGAGGCCGAAACCCACCAAACTTGGGAGGTTGCAGGCAGCGCCGGCGGCACAGGAGTGTGAGAGCTGCTGCGAAGGGCCCACAACCTGCTCAAACCAATCCCAACAAATGAGTTTCAGCGCGGCACAGCAGAAATTACGAGAATTATCCTTAATCCCTTATAGTCATCCTAAACCCCTAGCTCCTCTTCTTGGCTACACAAGCCACGATAATGTCTTTGTAGTTGCTGCTGTAGATTTCCTAGAGCAAGTCTCAAACTATCAAGACAGCATCTATAAGTTACCCAAATTGGGATTCATAGCAAACAATATTATAAAAGGGGTTCCTAACTTTGTGAACTTAATTTAAGTTCCTTCAAAGCAGCCTCCAGCAGGCCAAAGGCGGAGATCGCTGTAGAGCCAGCACCGCACATCCCACCAATGCAATGGCACACTGCATATTGGCCTCACGCTTAGTGAAGGCTACTAGGGAAGGGAACAAATTGTATAGGGATTATGTAAGGATTATATTCCCTTGTTCCCTACTATCCACCAGTAAGCCAGTGGGGATAGCCTGCACTTGCTAGAAAGCTAAAGAAACGCGCCTCCTTGAGGAACCTGCGACGCCGAAAGCTGCACCTGCGGCACGTTGGCCACCACCTCACGGTGCTTGTGCCACTTGAGGCTCTCACAACATGGGGAACGTCTTTGGACTTTATTCGGGCACACAAGTAAGGGGATTTCGGGCAGCTTAAGCTTTGCATGCTCCTTTCCAATTCGTGCAGCAGTGCCTGGATCTGTTGGAGCCAGTCACCGCCGGGAAACCTTAGGACCAGGCGACTTGTTGACAACGCAAACCTTCACCTGCCTGAAAAAAATGGCCAGCTGGTAATCCATATACTCTAAAGGGGCTGCATTATGACACCCTACCCATGAGAAAAACTCAAACCCCTAACGCACATCCAAGGCACGTCGCCCAGTCATAGGAGCTGCAGCATACATCCACGCTCTCTCCGGATGCGGGAGTGCAGTTAATGATCCCGGCCTTCCAAAAAGAAACAGACTTATAAATCCAAAGGTACCCCTCCCCATCAATCGCTGGCTGAAGCTGGGCACCACACAAAATCAGAAGAATTGATTCCAAAACCTGCATACTCTCCCAGGGTGCATGCCACGCCAGCGATGCATGTCCTGAGCGTGCATGCTAGGCATGATGTAAGCGAACATTGCATTGGCATTCATCTTGCTTCAGCCGGCTGGGTGTGGTCAGAAAAGCAGAAATGGATCTCTGAAAGCTGCATGCGCGACGTCATACAGTACCAGGTTGCTGTGTTTGGTTCGTTGGAGCCGGGCCAAGGACACTGAGAACCCCCAGGGTGCCAGTGAAGTGCACATCCTGAGAACTTGGCATTCTAGAAGCGCTTGATAGTACAGCTCTCCCTTTGTCAAAATGCCCATTGCTTGCACCCACGGGCCTGTGAGCAAGTACTAGTCACCGAGCAGTAGCACATCAGCCACTGACCACCGGAGGGCAGATCGGCTGCCACCACCTGGCAGCATTGCCTGCCTCTGCTTCTGCGTGAGAACCTCTTACTGTCAGAACTTATGAACTACCCAGCTTATCTAGAAGGACAGCCAGCCCACAACATCCAGGGGAGCACCTTCCGCATTTCCTCGATGAGTACTTCACTGCGGTACGCTGCTTGCCCTCACTCAATCCAAACTTTGCCCAGCGCACCGAAACAGCTCCGCTGGCGACAGACTTGGAGCTGCCTTGGTGTTGGAAGAACCGGGCTTCACAACGAAGGATCAACG